ATAAATACATTACTATGCTTTACCCAGTATAACCGTTTCACAGCTGAAAAAGCTTATGCCAATACCAAAAAAATGGAGAAAAAAAAACATATTTTGTCTTACCACTCCCCACATCCTCTCTTTCACCCTCTTTCCCCTCCCTCGCCTCCCCCCCTTTTCCATACTTTTTGGCTAAATGACAGAAAAAAAAGGAGGGAGAGAGAGAGAGAGAGAGAGAGAGAGAAATTTATTCATAACATATAGAGAGTGAGAGAGAGAGAGAAAGAGAAAAACAGACTTTACCCCACCTTTACACAAAGAGCATTTCTTGTTCGAGTCAATTTCTTTTGATTGTAAGCCTTTCGTGATTTCAACGAATTAATTGAAGCTCATGTCCTTACTGAGACAATTTGACTTCTTACCCCCCACCCACAAGATACGATTTGATGTGTCTGTGTGTGTGTGTGTGTGAGAGAGGAGTGAAGAAGGGCAAAAAGCAACCGTTCATGATCGACGGACGGACACACACACACACACATACAACGACATTAAGGCAATATAACCATTTTGCCGTGTATATGGGCATTTCAATTCAAACATCATAAACGCTGTGACGTACCTGTTTTGTTCGAAGTGCTTGTGCTCCCAACATCTTGTATCAAATGGAATGTGTAGAATTGGAGTTGATAACTTCTGAAATGAAAAGAATGAAGTTGAAAAAAATAAAAATTTAAATGAAAAGCTGAAATGAAGTGAGAAAAACCGCAAAACAAATGGAACGGCAGAATGGAGGGAGGAGGGGAAAAAAAAAAGTTTTTTCTTCCTTCTTTACTTCAGAAGGATGACATGTGGATAACATTCATTTCATACCAAGCACGACGTTTTTCTTCTCACTCTCTTCTATGCATTATAAAAGGTAAAAATGAAAATATGAAAGAGAGATGGCTTGAGAGGGATATGATGAGAGGGAGGATAGAGGAGGAGTGAAGTTGTGAGGGAGATGGTGCTCAGCAGAGCAGCGTTTGAAAAACTTCCATTTTAATAATTTTTTGAACAAAAAAAATTACTCAAAAGAGAAAGAGAGAAAAGGGAAGGAAAAGAGAATGCAAGGGAGAGGGAGAAGGGAAGGGTGGATGAGGAGGTTGAATGGGAAAAAAAACTTTTTTTGAGGCTTTACCACAAGGAGACACATACACACACACCACACACACACATATAAGCTTTAGCTCTCCCACAGACAGACTCATGGGGCGGAGACTCTCTGAACAAACGGTCCCTGGAGGAAAGTGCTACTGAGCTGCAACATGGTTGAGCAAGTAAGAAAAATGCTGATTGAGAACAAAAGATGAAAAAAAATGAAAAGAAAAAAGATAGTGAAATGAGATATCAAACATATTCTTGAAGAAGCTTAAAATAATAAATAAGAAGATGCCTTAGGTAATAAACAGCAACAGATGCATTCAGTACAACTCCCTCTATCTCTTTCTCTCTCTCTCTCTCTTATGCCAATATGCAACCGTTCTATCCGTCTACAAACTGTTCTTAATGAATTGATGTTTGCCGCGAACATCGTTCACGTATGTTTCACGTAAAGCTTGTTGATATCACATATCCTCATTCCACGTTGATTATGTGTAAAACATGAATTGAACACGTAAACTATTGAGATCAGGTGTAATTGAAGATAGAGGATATCAGGATAAGGAGAGTGTGTATGATAGAGAGATAGAGATACAAAGAGAGAGAGAGAGAGAGGTAGAATGAGTAGAAGAGTAGAGGAAGAGAGATAAAAAGAGATAAAAGATAAAACGTTGCAAGAATATGAAATGACGTCATATGAAATAGGAATATGAAAGAAACGAGAAAGAGACAATGACCCCCTGTAGCAGCTAGAGATGAAGAAGAAGAAGAAGCAAAGTTGAAAGTTTGCAGGAAGAATAGATTAAAGCATGTGTGAGTGATGAATTAGAAATCACACTCGATTCTCGTAAATTCTTCATCCAATTACACCTGACCAGGTAATCTATCTATTGATTATAAGAGAGATAAATCGGAAGCAGCTTCAAAGTGAGGTGAGAAATGAGGAAGAGAGAGAGAGAGAGAGAGAGAGAGGAAAGGAAAGGTGAGAAGATGAAGATGAAGAAGAAGAAGAAGACCAAGAAGATTGAACGAAGAGGGAACAAGACAAATGTCTTCAAGTTGAACGAAGCTTACAATTGAATAAGCAAAAAAGTAATTAAATAATTACTAATCCACCTTAATCTCAATGATCGCATCAACTTTATTGAGCTTTAGCTCCCCAAGGCATACAATTGCCAGCCAATAGGGGTTTCAGAAGCCTATCCCAAAAGGTTTGCACTTTGTCCTTTCAGCTTTTGACCTAAAATCATTTGATTGCGTTAACCCTTTCCATTGTCTTCGTCTTCTTCCCCATCCTCCCCACATCCATTCTCACCCCCCCCCCTCTCTCTCTTCATCCACCCGTTCTCCTCCATCCCAAATTATCAGAAACGCCTTGAGAATGAGACGCAACCATAAAAACTTTTCCTTTTGTCGTTGTCTTCGTCGTTTTTTTCGTTCATCCAAACTGCGTTCCTTAACTTCGCAATTTGGCAAAGGTCGTTGAAGATATGGTTGTTGTAGTTGGAAAAACATGTGATGTGATGTGTGTATGTGTGTGTGTGTGTGAAGATATGACAAAAAACGTTATTCACGAATGATCATATAGAACTTTTGAAAGATGTTTAACCATCTTCTTTCTCAGAGTTGTTTGGTCGTTAGTATCTGCTACTTGAAACGATTCTCTTTCACCTTAAAAAGATAGTGAAAAGTGATGTCCGCTGTTGACCTGATTCGCAATAGAACATTGGGTAAAATGGCTTTAGGGGGGAAACAGGGGGGGAGGATGGGGAGGACGGCCCAAGACAAGGAGGTGGCGGCGAAGACGATGATGGAGGAAGAGAAGATTCAGAGTGCTAAGGAACATGACGCTATATGCACGTCTGATAGGGAGACAAGAAAGAGGATGCATGAGATTGGTGAAGGAGGCAGGCGGTGAATACATACAACACACTAACGGTTAAGAGGTGACTGTCTGAATAAGAAGATACATTGGTCTAGACGAACTTATTAGTCAAAATTCAAAAGACATATAGCATAGATGGAGATAGAAGAAGAGAAAAGGGGGATGGCTGTCTGACGAATTCATCAAAATTACAGTCAATCTGAAGAGAATTCAGATGATGCGAGAATTGACGCAGAACATTGATGATCGTCTACGTCTTAGAGATTTTATGGACCAAATCTTCTTTTAGTCTTCATATCACACCAACTCCATAGGACTTCATAATAATGGAATCTATACATCCACAGGTATTTATCAGTTTATATATTCTATAAGCCATCACCCATTGTTTGTTTTTTTTTTCTTTTTTTCATTTTATTTCACACAAGCATATCTCCGTTAGAATCTCATTTCTCATCTCTGCTCATTCACCTTACTCCTCTTCTGGCCACTATTCCATTTATGGAGAATAGAAGACAAGATGTACGAGTATGATGGAACATTCCTTCCAATCTCTTACTGTTTGAAGAAGAGGACGAAATCTTCTATTTACATGTTAGAATCTCGTTGTACCAGAAATATAAAAAGAACAAAAAAAAAGAAGGAAAGTTCTCTTCTTCTCACATATAGAGAACTGACCGCATAGAGAGTGAATGGATGGGCGAGAGAGGCTATGCAGTAGTAAGGAGGTAGGGGAAGCCACTTGATGATTAAAAACCGGGTTTGATTCGGTTTCGTAGAGAAACAACATGGTTTCTCTCCGAGTAAAAGTGTTGAAAGAGAAAAGCTTATGAAGGATAGGACCAGATAGGAATGGAAATATAAAAAGGAGATATCCCCCCCCACCCGCTTCAGCATCAGCCGCTCAGAATCTCCGTGTTGTCTTTTTATTTTTTTGTCATCTTCTTCTTCGTCTTCATCTTCTACTATCGTCTTGAACACCAAAAAAAAAAGAGAATGAAAATCTTTTTTTTTTCCTTGTTGTCATATATTCCAACAACACAGACAGAGAAGGAATGAAGATGAGACAGAAGAAGAACGAAGGAGGAGAAGAAGAAGAAGATGAAGAAGATGACGAAAAGAAGACGTTCACGAAGAGTAGTAGAAGAATGACGAAGACAAAAAAGGCCATTTGAATGAAATACAAATTGATTTGAGACGACTAAGCCTGCGTGACCTTAAATATCCTCAATCTTATAAATGTTCATTTAAGGATATTCTTTTCAGCTCTCATTTTCTCTCTCTCTCGCGCAATTCATAATATCATTATTATTGTTATTATTTATTCTTAAACTATATGCATATAGTTAGTCTGGTCTCGGTCTCCACTTGATCTCGTTTTATTACCCGTTTTCGAACTTGCTTTATAAAGCTGTTCTTATTACCTTTAACGGGTCAACACTATATATAATTGGATGGACATACCATCTCTCTTATATATAGAAAGACAGAGAAAGATAGAGAGAGTGAGAGAGAAAGAGAACAGAAAAGCTTTTCGAATATGAATATCTCCTCTATGCATTAACATTCATCATCTTCGATGACAACGACGACGACGTAGCTGCTGTAGTCAAAATCGTCGTCGTCGTCGTTGTCGTCGTTGTCGTCGTTGTCGCTGTGGTCTATGTTAGATTTCTCTCACATATTCTTCCTTCATCCGACCTTGAACTTACTCAAACGTTCTAATCGGCTTCTATTCAAAACATTTTTCTTCAAATCTTTTCATCTTCCTCATCTTATAGTTGTTATTCTCTCTTTTTTTGACGAAAAAATATATGTTCGTGATCATTGTGACATAATCTTCGTCGTCTTCATCTATTGCCCTCCTCCTCCTCACACATCTTCGTTGTTCTCGAAGATTTATGATCACATCTTCAATAATCACTTAGAGCTTAACTATTTCTAAGCTATCTCATTACGTGTGATGCTAACTGACTACATGCATGTTCAGATTGAAATGGTGATGGACTTTCTCAGATCACTAAATACATTTCAAGTATATGAGAATGGGACAGACAATAATATGCAATCAGATTATCGTTATAAGTTAGCTGCAACCTCATCTACGATCTTATCACTCAAGTACGTTTCAGATTTGCTCTTCCATTTGAATACATCGAAAATCCAAAAGAGAAGACAATCATCTTTCAACAACACTGGTATCACTCCATAACTATTTCAATTGTATATTTTATAGTAATTAAAAGTGAGTAAGCATGTAGATGAGTGATAGAGGATAGATGAAGCTCTTGCAAGCTTATCAAGCTTCAAACGTTGTCCTCGCTCTTCATCACTTCAATTTCATTTTTTTTTACAAAATCATCTCTCTTTACAGTTATTCAACATGCTATGAAAGATAGAAAACCATTTGAATTACGGTTACCATTATTTTATTGGAACGGAGGTCTGGCGTTATTCAGCATATTGGCACTTGTGCGATTCAGTGAGGTCCGTGAAATGCTTTTCTAACAAGTCGCAACAACAATGGAATATCCTCTTTCATATCCCTATGTTTCAGGATTTCTTTGAATCAATGATTAACAGAGGCTTTTACAAGACAATCTGTTATTCAGTTCATCCAAATGATGTAGCTGCATATTGGTGTTTAGCTTTTGCTTGGTCAAAAGTAAATTCAATCAAATGAAATTAAATATAAAAGTTAATTAAGGTCATAGAACTTGGAGACACCTTGTTCATCGTCTTACGTAAACGACCATTAATTTTCCTTCATTATTATCATCATGCAGCTGTCTTAATCTACACTGTTCATTCAGGTGAGTAGAAGATGAGAGAGGATAGAGACTCCCTTATCTATCTTTCGACTACTTCATATGGTATGACAGTAGTCTACAATCAGTCAACAACGATGATAACTTTCATTATCTTCAGGTGCTGAGCATACTGCTCCTGGAAGAATCTTCATTTGGATGAATTATTTAGCTCATTCATTCATGTACTCTTATTATGCTATCAGAGCATATGGAGTACGAATTCCGAGATGGGTAAGCCTTTATCTATATCCGCTTTCATGTGAACATATCGCTCACATGGAATAGATTCCCAAACGAGAAGAATCAATCAGCGCAAAATCCGCGTGATCACAATATCGAAGACGATTTGCCTCTCAAGAATTCTTTTCGATTTTGACCGAAAAAAATAATTCTCGGAGGCTATTGAGAACTTCTCCGAATATCCCTCTCACTCTTTCATTACTTTCACCCTTTCGGGATAAGTGAAAGACAGAAAGTAAGACGAAGAACTGTTTTTTCAGATTTCAATGGCAGTCACCACAATCCAAACAATGCAAATGTTGGCCGGAGTAGCTGTCACTTTCATCGTTCACCGAATTAAGACAGTTTATAATTGGCCGTAAGCGATTGCCTTATAGGGATGCTGGAAAGATTGTTCATCATTTCAGATGCCAACAATCAGTATCAAATCTCTACTTGGCGTTCATCATCTACTTCACTTTCGCTCTCTTATTCATACAATTCTTTTATGATACTTATCTAACGAAGAAGAAAGCAGCACAGAATAATAAAAAAGAAACGAAGAAAATCCAATAATAGGATGTTATGAAAATAAAAAAATGCTTTTAACGCTTAATATTCTAATTAACTACTACTCGTACCATCTATCATACACCAACAGCATCATCATCATCAACAACCACAACAACAACAACAACATTAAAAGCATATGTGAGAGAGAGAGATCAAATGAAAATGGAAGGAGTGAGTTGGAGAAGATGAAGAAGAAGCTCAATTCTCCAGCTTAAAACATCATAAGCTGACAGAACAACGAACTCGTAAAACCCAAGAAAATTCGTGTTCCAAGTCATTCATCCTTCATTCTTCTTGTTCTTCTCCTCCCCCTCCTCCTCCTTCTCTCCTATAGCCCCCTCAGGCTAAATTGCTCCAAACTAACATTTTTTTACTCCCTCCACTTCTACTTCATTCTCCTCCTCTTCTAGCTTCTCACCAACCCCCCCCCCCTGGTTTCGTTCCAAAAATGAATAACTTCTCCAGTGGGACAATGTCGGAACATTTCACTAGGAACAGAAAGAGCATCAAACATCAATTCTTATTTCCATTTAGGGAATAAAAAGAGTCTGCACATTTCTATTTTATACTTGCCAAACGCCCTCTGGGAACATGAATCATTTTAACTTTAAATTGTTAAGAACTTCACTAGGTCAAATCATTTTCACTTTGTGCTTATGACACATTTCGTAGGATCACAATATGAGGAGAAGAAAACAAAGAAAGCCTTAACAACTCTCATTCAGACCTCAAATCTGTTTTGCACAATTTGACAAGAAACTTGACAACTTTAGAATAAATTACGGACAAGCTTGTCGAAAGTTTACCCCAATTGCTCTTCTTAACTTTCACGGAAACACACAGCGGAGAGGAGAACAGAAAAAAAAAAAGGAAAATTTGCACATGACAACCTTAAGCTGCATCTCCGATTTCAAAAGCGCTTGCCGACGCAACCTGTCGAAAGCTGTTAACGCTTTTCAAACTATCGGTAGCAGCTTTACGATAGGAGATTCCAAAGAATGAAAAACGTGCAACCGAACTCACATAGGATGGTGGAGTGTTGAGAGAATTCGTTTGAATTGACGATATCCAGAATCATCTGGATGTTGTCATCAGATTCCAAAATTTCCGAAGCACTTTTCTGCTTCAATATATTTAGAATTTGTTCACTAAAATACAACCAGATGATCAGCAATCTACAGAAGAGAAGACACAGACCTCATTCTGTCCGATAAGGCATCAATCAAATAAATTTTTTCGTTCAAAGTAAAGATGTCGATCTGAAATAATAAAATTTGTTGAAAAATAGAATAATTAAAAGATATTTTTACAATTCGAGCTAGCTGTTCTGGTATGTCATGTATCTTCCTTGCAATTAAAATAATCAAAACATCATCCGGATGACGATGAGGGACGTTTTGAAAGAGAATTTCCTTTTCATCCCATTTTGATAAGAATGAATAGTATTCAACAGGTGGAGCTTCTGACACATTATATATTATCTTAAATGTGAATATGTTATCACTCCCGATTAACTATATAATATATCCTACGAGTGGCACGGAGTTTGATAGATGTCGTACAATCCGTTGACACAAATCCTCGTCTAGCCATTGTAAGCCTTCCACATCAATCGTCGCAGCATGAGCAAATATTTTGAGTAAAATTTTGAGTAAAACATCATTCTCATCAATGAACAAGGCGAATCGTCGATTGTATTCCAAATTTCTGTAATGGAACAAGTTTCATCTTTCCATTTTTAGCTTTTGAAAACTTTTTTTTTCTTACCGAATGAACTCCATTGCTAAATCGGGACATGATGGATTTGCGTATTGAATAACTTGTCTGTTTTTCAGAAAATTCAGACATTCATCCAAGACTCTCTTCAAGAAAGAAGGAACAATATTTTTCTCAAAACAATTTCAAAATCTGAACCTGCTTGATAGTGCGGCTCTCGTTCGCCACCATGTTAACATAAATGCTTTGGAGACAGGAAATGCCAAAGAGGTCGTTGTCCAAGTTATTGAAAGCCTTCATATCAGCTATCCATCTGAATATTTCATAGTTTGTTTATATGTTTGAGAAGGAAAGAGAAAAAACTTTTTTTCCAAATTTCCCAATTTGTTTAATACCAAACCGCTGTGCCGTTGGTAAGCCGATAACTTCCTATCTGAAGACAGATCTAATTCGAGCTGTCTCCTCTTCTCATTCAACTACAATTAATGATATCAGAAAAAGATACTTTAATAGTTCTAACCAATGTAAGATCATCCTGTATCGAATTGATAAAGATCTTGAACTCTGAGTTCTTCATTTGGATATCTTCAACTTCATGCAAGGTTCTTCCTAGCTCGTTCCGCTTTTCCCTCAAGTTTTTCAAAGTGCTGCAAGATGTCCTCTTTGAGAGACAAAAGATAAAGCTGCTTACCTCGAAAGTTTAACCAAACTTTGGATCCAAATGGACAGCTCTGCAGCCAATTCACATTCTGTTCTCATTTTCACAGGACGGAACTCTCTGTTTTCAACGTACTTCAAAGTTTTGCTTAGCTTCTCCATTGATAAACTAGCCTGAAAGCAGAGATTAATGAGTCTTCGTGAGACAAAGATACAAACAGGCTCAAACTTCAGGATGCGGGTGAAAAACTGTGGAGTTCGAAGCATCTTTTGTAGTTGAACCCAGTTTTCAGCTTTGTTCGTTTCTGCAAAAGTTCAGTTGATCTTCAAATTTATCACGCAGACGAACTTCGTTTGAATTCAGGTCCAACTATTATCTGAAGAACTTCCGCAACATATCTACTTCCGATCGAAGGCTTCGGAAGCTGAGAATACGAACGGTAATCATTTGCTGAGAAACGATTTAACGATTCGATGGCTTTGTGGTAGTTGTTCTCTGGCTCCTGAAACCAGTGTTTGCTTTGTTTAATACTCATTCCAAATTACTGTTAAGTCTCCATCCAATGTTTTCTGCAGTTCATTGATAAGCTTCTTCTTCTCTTCAATGACTTTCTCAGCATCTTCTGTCTTCTTGAGCAATCTTTCGAGAGTTTCCGTTTTCAACATGATATCTTTCTCTGTGTTATCTAATTGCGACTCCTTATCCATGATTCTCAAAAAAATATTAATCAAATCTGCTCTAGTGTTGAAACTAACCGCTCAGAAAGCAAATTGGAATCCAATTGCTCAGCTGCGGTCTTTAGTTCTCGAACTTTCTTGAGAGTTAAAAGAGCCGCAGATAAACTCTTATGATTCTCTGAGTATTGACTGGAAACAGAATCATATTATTTCAAAAGAGAGTAGGTGGGGACGTACAGATGCTTTCGCTCATACACTTGAGCAGCTTGATTAACTATATGATAGAGTAGAGCGAAATCAGAGATGCTCTCTGAATTCATCTGAACAGCTTTTCCCAACAATGATAGTCCCAGTTGGTAAAGCTGATGAATGACAACAGCATTAACTTCACTTTCTATTTTAGCGTCTTGGAGAATCTTGCAAGTAACACTGTCGTATCTACTTTCATCGATCGACTGAAATTAACACTTGAATAAGAGTGTCCTGAAATCTAAATACCTTCACATGGATGACAGAACACCAAGAGAAATCACTCTTAACATGATGACTAACAAGGAATACCACGTGTATCAGATCATGAATGCGTGATTCCATTATTCTGCGAAGTGTTTGTGGCTCTTTCAACACTTCTATTGCCAAAAATCTGCACAAACGTTGACTAGAAATCATATGTTAAGAGCTTCCTTTCAGGACTGAAACAACCCCGGTAAGCGTATCCCAACACTTTGCATCTGTGCAGCCAGAGATTTCTCATTCTCAATCAGTTGTTCACCACAGGCAATTAATTGTTCATCAGATACTATGCGACTTGTTTCCGGTCGCTCGAGCCAAAGGCGAAGATAATCCATCCATCTTGGTTCCACACGAGCATACTGTAATAAATGAGAACAGAATACAACTTGTGATACGAAGTTACATTAAAATCCATATGAACAAGTATGCAAACTTGCTGATTCGAAGATAGGATGGACAGAATAGATCGAGTGAATACTTCGTACCATCCCTACAAGTGAAGAAACAAGCTATCAACAGAAGATGTATAACGAACCTTCACGAACGTCTCAAACGAATGAACATCGGGATAGTGACTTATGAGCTAGAAACAATCATCAAATACAGAACAAAGAAATGAGCTCACCTGAGCACTATTTGCAGCAGCAGCCAGGGTAACCATTTGACTTCTTCCCTGTCCAGGTAACCCGCAAAGACAGAGATGTTCACCAGTTTGCCTTATGATTCTACTTATTTGCTGAACGCACCCGGTTATTTCACTGGAAGAGCTCAATCAGAATGATGGAAGTAACAGATGTAGCAAACTTGTTAATAGAGAGTTGAATTCGATCCCGCTTATGATTCTTATGGTATTCAAATAAGAAGTTTTCCATGATTCTATTGAAGTTCACCATACTCTTCACGGGGACATAGCTGAGGCCATCATATGTGTCCGTCACATCCATTTCAGAATAAAGTAAAGTTTGTAATGATATTACCGATATGACAGCTTTTTCATCAAGTAACTGTTCCTGTTAACAAACGTGTTTTGAAAAATCTTTGACAGCCGTTTACTAACGTCATCATCTGTTGACCAACAGTTGAGTTCCTTCAGAAGATCTTCTTCTGTCATATTGAATTGTTCTCGTATAATTGACTTCATGTCTTCAATAAGCATCGGGATTTGGTCATTATCTTAATGATGTACTGTTTAAAGAGGGTGGGGTATGTAGCTAACCTAAGCCATCCATGATAACTCTCAAACACTCATGAGCCCATAGACGAACAAATGATGGTGTATCTGGAGAGTTATCCGGAAAAGCAAACTGCAGTCCTTTCACTATTCTCATACAAACAGATAGCACGGCAAACGGCTTGAAGTAAGATTATGGTATAACCGAGATGGATGAGGAACAAACCACATAAGCTCTTGTCGCCAGGAACACGGTTCCATAAGAAAT